TGAAATTGCCCTCCGCTTGCTCCTTACTTGAATCTTCAATCTTTATTGATCTCCATAGGACAAGCTTCATAGTTTCTTCAAATCCGCTTCAGACTTCCCCGAATCTTGAGATTCGCTTGCTTCTAGGTCTAGAAAATCAATTCTGCTCAGTATTTGTTCTAACTGCACGTTTTTGCCTGAAACATAAAATAACGAAATTAATTGCAATTCAGGCACAAACAAAGAAGAAGTATACAAAATCCAGCCAAAAAGCCTAGATAAATTGTATAATCTGGGATTATCAGATACCGATGCATTTAGCGGAGTATACTGATTCTTGTCGCGATCGCTGCTTCTTTCCCTTTCTCTAATCGTCATTAGCCCATTTGTGATTAGGCTTTCTATTACTCTCTCCCCGGTTTTCCTTCCTCTGACTGGGAGCGCTAGTGAAGGACCAGGGTCGTGGCGATTCAAGGCAGCCACTGAATTTTCAATTCTGACATACTTCTCAGTGAGTTGTAGAACAAGTAGGGAAATATCATCCTCAGGCTGTTTTCTTTCACATGTCGGTTTGCAGCGAACTCCTACAATAATAAGATAAAACTGAATCTTTGGGTGTATTAGCACCTCATTCATCTCTTTGTGTAACGTCAATAGAGACTGGAGGGACTCATTCTCTCCTGTCATATGTTGCTTAGATAGCTTAATGGCTTGAGAACTTCCATAGCCTGGAAGTGTCTCAGGAATATCAAGCTCATCTGTTGTCACGAGTTAAGATCCTGGTGGAAGGATCTAAACTAGCGCTGGCATGGGCAGTTAGAGTCTCACTAAGCAGCGACATTCACTAAGTTGGAAACTGTGAAGCTCCATGAGGTTGTTAAACTCATAAATGATCCTACGATCTGAATTCCCATCGAACGCTCGATATTGGGCATTCTAAACCTTGATGGAAAGTCGTCAAGACTACCAAAGAAAAGGGATGCCTCAGCGACCTATCCCGCTCATTTGTGAAGCTCTAAACTGATCCAGAGCTCCCTCTAACTCCTCAATCTGAGGAGCAGAGCTACTGAGGATCACTTTCTACAACGTGGGTTCGCGCGTCGATTGCATTAAGGAAAGACTACAGATCGACTCTTCCTCGCCTTGGCAGAGCCTTCGGCATACTAACACACGTTGGCTGGAGCCATGTGAAGCATTGAATGGCTAGGGGAGTTATTTCAACCTCTATGGGGGTCAGAACCGACCCGTGGATGTGGCTTTCCCTTGGGGTGATGGTCAGAACCATCATTCAGGCAATAATGGGAGTCTCCCTGCCTTGCACTCTTATGGGGTGCCTATGCAATATGGCATAGGACGGCTCATGATGCGACATACCACCAAGTCACAAAGCCCATATACTCTACCCGCTTCACGACTAGTATTCACTAGTCCCTTCGAGCCCTTTGGCTTATTATCTACCACATGTTTTCCCTTGTCTATGCACCGTTGTGTGGTATTACCCTGTCAAATTGGGTGGTACAACCTGATCCAAACGATATAGCCTTCGGCAACTGTTTGGAGAGTATTGTTAAACCTCTCTAGGTAATTCATCATAACTAGTTCGAAGGGATATCTGCTACGGTACTTTGTTGAACTAGAGGTACTTCAGGAGAAGTAACATCCTTACCCGGGGGATCTCCTCTGTTGGTACTAGTTCTTTCGGTTTCAAGACCACAAGCTATTTGTTCGCGAGTAAGCTGATTGATAAGATATTCTTGATAAAATGGATACTAAATCATGCCCTCCTTTTAGCACTAAACTGTTGATGCTTGATTTTGACACCAACGACTCGCACGTCAAAGTGCTAAGCTGTTCTCATAAATTACATGTGAATGATTATGATCAATACCAAGATTGAATAATAAATGAGATATATGATTTTTAAAGTGGTTCAGATGCCTAAAGCGAATCCTACGTCCACTGTTTCTTTATATTGAGAGATTATAAGAGGTCGCGTATAGCGAACAACGAGTAGAGTACAATAATTGAGTATTAGAGAGATACAAGTCAGTCTCTTTCTCGTGGGTTATCTTTGCTCTGAAAATAAATATTCAATCAGAATGAGGGTTCAGGATCAGAATCCCGAAAATGAGAAGGGGAGTCCTCTATTTATAGTACAGGAATTCAAGGTGATGATTACAATCTGCAAGTGGGTAGGTGTCGTGAAGTTTCCTTACCTCCATGGCTGATAACTTAGGAAATATCCTCAAATTACTTGGGACTTGGTAGGTGTGCAGCCCTCTATCACTCATAAACGAAACCTGAATCTGCCAGTTGATACAACCATATTCCTTCTATCATGGAGCGACTGGCAGCTCCTAGGCGGTACAAAGTTCTTCGAACTCTAATTGGTGCCCATGATGTAGGCTAACGTAAGCCTGATTTTTAGGCATACATTTCCCATTCAGTTGCTCCCAAAATTTCACTTGCAAAACTTTGGCTTTGGCAATAATATTGATTTCTTTCTCCCTATACCTGTACATGCATGTTGCTGCTAAAGCTGTAATGTTAGGAATTAGTTATTTAGTTTTATCAAAGTGATTGTTATATTTTTAAATTTCTTTCATGTAACTATCTGCAACCATAATGTGCAGTGTATTCAGCTACGGGAGAATCTTAGGCTTCAAAAATCAACCTAAAGACATTGCCTTTTGAATAGTGTGAAGAAGATTTTTTTTGTCAAAGTACTTTTGCGAGTATGTTACAAATATAGTAAATAATATTATAAACTTTCATTTTTACTGTCGTATTAATCATCCCCTACTATTAGGGGGTGTTGGTAAAGAGACTGTTATATTAATGGGATTGGTGGGTATATATGTGTGATTGAGAGAAATAAAGAATTTTTGGAAAGCATTTTTACTAATGTGCTCTTTTTTTATTTTTTTATTAAATATTATATTATAATATAATAATATAATATTTATTAACAATATTATTATCTCATCAATAATATTATTAGTTAGAGGTAAAATTATAACAAAATTAAGATTTTCAATAATCTTAGATACTTAAAAATGTGTAATTCAGATTATCCCCTATATAATTCACATTGATTACTATTGATATTGAAAGTTTATCGAAATCTTTTAATACTTGACAATCAAACACAATAATGTTGGTAATATAGATGACATTTCTGAAATAACAGGGAATCCCTAACCAAATATACGCTTAATGGTTTGGTTCAGGAATGTTGGATTACTGGGAATGTTAGATTATTAAAGTAGATTACCTTGAAGATTACAGGAAATCTTTAGGAAAATGTTTGTTGGTTAGTTGAATAAATTGGTGGATTGTTTTATTAATATTTTGTTAGAAGGAATAAATTAGTGGATATGTTATTTAATTACTGATGTCCTCTAATTAAATATTATTATTTAATATTGTTATTAGATTATTATTTGGTATTTTTAACCCCCCTATATTTAAAAACTTAGCAAAAACAACCCCATATAAAAGGTTGGAAAATCAACAATCACCCCTAAAAGCCACCATTGTCGCCATCGGCAACCACTGGAGGGGGTCGAAAACCACAACCTAATGGCGCACGGAAGGCAGGAAGGCATCTTGCACCGTATGGCCAGATCTAGCCGGAACGCACGACAGCCATTTCCGCCTTTCGTGCGCCATTCCGCGGTGGCGAGGAGGTGCTGGGTGGTGGTTTGGTGCCTGCAATTTGTTTTGAATTCAAGGGTAATTTTGTCCAAAAAGTTAATTAATTAGGGTGAAATGTAAAAGTCATATTCATGTAAATTAATTTAAAAATAAGGGTATTATTGCCTAAATTTATTAATAAGGGATAGAATTGTAACAAAAAAAAAGATTAACTTGGTAATCTTACAATATCTAAGAAATAATAATTAAATTACTTCCAATATTACTAACAGTAACTACTATTGTGTTTAAAGATTATCATAATCTTATATTCTTGATAACTAAATGTGTAATTAGTAATATAAGATATATAACCAGTAATCCCACGTAATCCCCAACCAAACACTATTTTTTAATATCATATGAAAGGACACACGTCATTGGGGATTGATAATTTTTAATACATAAATTATTATCATATATATCAAAACTATAAAAACCTATTGATGTGCCATTGGTCTAGGATGATGTCCTACATTGAATTCGCCTTCACAATAAGTTCACATGCATTGTTTTTACTTTTTGGTGATTATAATGACAAATTTGCCAATATAGAATGTTAGTATGACTTGTGACATTGACGTTGCAGGAAAAAAAACAAAAAAACAATGTCATTTATTTGACAATGATCATCCAACAATTCTCTTTCAAAGCCAACTCCTTCCTTTTTTTTTTTTTTTTTCTCTTTCAATAATGTACAAATATGCTTTCCACATAACGTAGCATGACAGGCACGCAATGCCGAAGAAATAAATTTCGTTATAATTTAATGTCTGTATTGGTCATTAAATTGTTAGTCAGCTACTATTACTATCAATAGGATAAGATAAGACTTTCACAATCTGAATATGACATTTATTAATCAACTTTTACCTATGTTATTATTTTTGTCACATATGAATTCGTATAAAACAAATTGTACCATTAATTTGAACATTACTATTACTATTCTTTTATGTCATTTCTCCTGATAAAGACATCTCATATCATATGTTTTCACAAAGATCTATCTTCATCAAATCATGGACAGTAGTTGGTCCACTATAACGATAATTTTTTATATATTTTTAAAATTAAAAAAATTTACAAAAATCTAACTTAGTTGTCTTATTTACATCTTTTATCTGCTCAATTTTCACAAGTCCTGAGATTATTTGTATTTTAGTTTCGTATACGTGATTCTAGACATCATTTTTTTCAATTGTTTTTTTCTGGAAAAGCCTTTCGTTCCGATCGACTTGACTAGATATATGATATATCTTTTCTTTTTACTAAATAATCAAAATATCTTAGACAAACACCCTCTAAAATTGCTACATTTTACGAATAAACTGTCTGATGTTTAATATTATAAAAAATAACCTTTCTATTAATTACTCAGTGTGGTGGATTTGTTCGAAATTAAAAAACCGTCGTTCACTTTTTTATTGCTTATTAAAAAAACCTTCTTTATTTATTAATTAGCCATTGATTTCATACAAAAATGAGCTCTCCTGTTGTATATAAAACCGGCAACGCATCTCCAATTCTCCATACACCACCTATTTTCACATATTTCTCTCTTCTCTTCTCTCACTTCCTTCTTGAAAATGGAGATATCAGTTACATTCATCGTCTTCTCCTTTGTTTTTTTGCGGTCATTTTAGCTTCTGCGTGGTCTTTTCTGGATTGGATTTGGTTGAAGCCGAAGAAGCTGGAGATGTTGCTGAGACAACAAGGTTTCTCCGGCAACTCATACAAACTTCTTCACGGTGACACAAAGGAGATGTTCACGATGACAAAACAAGCAGAAAGCGAACCCATCAACCCCCTCTCCCACGATATTGCGCCGCGAATCATTCCATTCCACCATCATATCATTATGAACTACGGTATGCTTATTTCAATTCTTGAAACTTCAATTAATCGATTAAGGTTTACTAGTTGATGGAGATTTTAATAAGTTAATTTTAGGTAAAAAAAAAAATTGTCATTTTATTTGTAATAGTTTGTGGTTCAAAACAGAGAAAGTTCTGTATCGGTAGTGAGCGAAATACTTTTCTATAGTAGTGAAACGGTGCCACCTTCTTATCTTTTCTTATTTCTTGTATTAATTTTATCTAGTATTACAACAGAACAAATAACAACCCAAATATTTGGGCTCGTAGTGCTCGGCCTTAATCCATTGGTTTATGTATTCCTTTTGGGCCTGTAAGCCTTATATACCTAACAAATCTTTAAACCAGCCTCATTTAATTTTTTCCCCAAAAGCTACTATTTATTTTTACAAAATTTGTATAATGAGTTGATTTTACATTTTCACTCTTCTAATTATGTAATACATCACTTTACATACAAGATTTTGTATACACACTATGTAATAGCAGTATTTTTCATTTATTATGGGTCAATTATATCAACTTAACCTTTTGACTTGTAAAAATATTAATATGTAATATGTTATATGTAAACGTTCTTTTTCATTTAGCTAGTAATAGTTCTACTAATCTATGCTCAATATATAACTTACCCAAAAAGCTATTGTTTAATGACAACAATAAGTACTTATGGTGTCTAATAAATGCAGGAAAGAATTCATTCATATGGTTAGGTCCAGCACCAAGCATAAATATCACGGACCCCAAATTGATAAGAGAAATTATGTTAAGGTATGAAATATTTCAAAAACCCAAGAGGAACCCACTTAATAGGTGGTTTTCAGTGGGATGCTGGTGTATGAGGGTGAACAATGGTTCAGAGTCAGAAAGATAGCCAATCCAGCTTTCCATCTCGATAAGTTGAAGGTTTTTTCATCTTTCTATACTTTAAAAGAACATGCAATTTATACATAATTGCCCATTGAAAGATACACAATTAGTGAATCAAATTTCTATGCACTCATTTATTGATATAATTAACTACTATTTCTTTTTCTTTATAGGATATTAACTTCAAATTTATCTTCTTTTTCTTATTCTTTATTGGATATGTTACCTAAAATGTATTTGAGTTGCAATGACATGGTGAGAAAATGGAAGAGATCAATCTCAAACAATTTCATGTGTGATAGATGTGTGGCCTGACATTAAGGCTTTAACTTCAGATGTGATTTCTCGAATGGCATTTGGGAGTAGTTATGAAGATGGAAGAAAAATATTTGAACTCATACCCAACAAATTTATCTGTTGAATCAAGTTTTCTACACCTACCATATCTCGGGATGGAGGTAATTTGAATTAATTTTTATCATTTAAAAACATTTACTCAGCACATTTTTTCTTGTTTTTCAAACTGTAGAAACAAATTTAAAAAATCATTTTGCAAAAACATTTTTGAAATTAGTATTGGATGAGTAGGAAGAACTTACACTTAGGGGATTAATTTGTTTATTTTCAGGTTTTTGCCCACTAAGGCAAATAGAAAACTGAAAAGTAGTCACAAAGAAATTCAAGAATTGATAAAAGGCATCATACAGAAAAGAGAGGAGGCCCTAAAACTTGGAGAAGCAAGTAATGATCATCTATTGACTATTGGGTTTATTAGTAGAATCAAATCGCAGAAAAATTCAAGAGCATGGGAACAAGGAAAGCGGAATGAGTATTGAAGAGGTGATTGAAGAGTACAAACTTTTTTATCTTGCTGGCCAAGAGACTACTGCAGCTTTGATTGTATGGACCATGATTTTGTTATGTATGCATCCAAATTGGCAAGAACGAGGTTTTTCGAGTTTTGGGGAACAACGAACCACGATTTGATGAGCTAAACCACTTGAAAGAAGTAAGTAAACATATTCCTTCTTTAATAGTTCAGTCTATTTTGAATTTCATCGGAAACCTATTTTCATTTTTAAAATTTTTTTACTGCACATTCCCTTAAAGGGATTATGGGAGACCATGGTGTTTTCTTAAACAAAGGGGATCAACATTGTATAATAAAATCTCGGTAAATATACCCATTTAAAAATCTGACAAATCTTTCTTAATATTAGATGCTTAACTCCCTAAAAAATCCACATTGCAGGTGAACAAAATTCTCCATGAGGCACTGAGATTATATCCACCAGCAGCTTTGTTTACCAGAGAATTTATTAAGGAGTCCAAACTGGTAGATATTATTATACCACCTGGAGTTTTTATTTCAATGCCAATAATTCTAGTTCATCAGGATGAAGAATATTGGGGAAATGCAATGGAGTTCAATCCGGAGAGATTTTCCCAAGGAGTTTCGAAGGCCTCAAAGAATGATCAAGTCTCATTCTTCCCTTTTGCTTGGGGTCCTAGATATGCGTCGGACAAAACTTTGCATTGGTGGAATCAAAACTAGTTTTAGCAATGATTCTGCAAAATTTCTCTTTTCAGCTTTCTCCAACTTATGTACATGCTCCAGCTCGTGTATAACCATACAACCAGTCAACCACAACATGGTGCCCATATGATTTTACACAAAATTTAGTATTTCAATTAATACGTAGGGTGTGTTTGTTTTTCCCACTTACGTCTTAAATCTAATCGGAATTAGAGTTTTGATTTTTTTTTTTTTTTCTTCAAATTGTCATTTATTTTTAGAACTTTTCACTGAACATAAAAAGTAAAACTTTATAACTTCATTCTAAAATCTGAATGTTTTTTATGCATAAGTTTAGTTACCTTAAATGCCCCTATATGATAACAAATAAAAATTTAAATAAAATGTTAAAATCAGACTTCTCATTTATTTCATTTAAATTATCTTTAAAGTACTTTATCTTATTAAATAAATGCAATTTTCAATGGTCGGAACACGATGATAGCCATTGGATTCCGATCACCTGAAAATATTTTGGCGAGCTTTGGTAACAAAGTTGATATCAAAATGATTGTATTTTCACCCTCTATATGTCCTTACAATTGTTTTTTTATCAATAGATGCGTCATTTGGTCAGGATCTATATTGATGAGTGATTTTAACACCAACTAATCGACACGTGCGTAACGTTGATTGGTCAAGAGACACGTGATTATAGATAGAATGTAGAATACATGCAATGAGAGCTTTTTAAAGTGGTTCAGATGCTAAGGTAGCAAGTCCTACATCCACTGATTTGTATTAGTATTGTAGGTCAGGTCGCAACAGCGGACTCACTTACAAATGATTAGGGAAAAATAAATACAAAGTTTGCAAGAGAGAGAGAGAGAGAGTTAGTTCAGAGTGCAAAAATAGCCTAATCCCCTTAATGAAGGGGTCTTCCTCTTCTTATAGCGAGATGAATGCAAGTAATCATCATTAAATCCATGGATTGGTGTGAATGTCAGGACTAAATCCGACTTTATGTCACATTACCCTCCTTTCAAGCTGATTTCATGCGATTTGGAGCAGGGAGTGGACACGTGAGAGCTCCAAAGCGTCTTGCAGGTCTGACGTGCGTTTACCGTTCTGACGGGAGCAGGTCATACTTTATCACGTGATTTCTCACATCAGCCCTTGATTTCCCAAGCATAACAGGATCTAATAGAGAAATTTTAGATGCCACACTTTCTCCTTCAGATCCCAACCAACCCTAGTGTTATTTCAATTGAAATTTATATAGGTTGATAGATCGTTCAAAAAGGTTCTTTTTTATATCAATTCTACTTCTTTTATGCATTAAAAAAAAAAAAAAAAAAATTCTAGTCACTAGCCAATGGTGGATTCTGGCAATATTTTATAAACTAGATTAATCACTTTAACGTCACTAATTATATATACTTTAATTTTTTCTATTTTTTACGAACCGTTCATCTTTATAAGTTTTAATTTTATGATCGTAACGTAAATGGAAAACTAAAAAATTATTATAGTGAATGCTAAAGTTGTGATCAAAACTGACAAGAACATGCAAAGAAGAGATTTTGTAATTAACTCAATGCTAAGGTAAATTGAGTGTGATTGATGTGATACTGATAATCAGATAACTCTCCTATGGTGCCAGCCAGCTCCTTTGCTTTTTTTTTAAACAGCCTGGCATGACACGCACGCAATGACGCACACATGAATTTCAGTTTGTTTTAATTTAATGTTTTTAGTAAATCATAAAACATTATCATGACACGCACGCAACGACATAATTTAGTTTTATGTTTATAAAATAATTCACCGTACTTATCTAATAAATTTAATTTAGTACTTGTAAAAAAAATTATAAACATAATTTAATAAACATTTATTCGACAACTAATACCTTTTTAATTCCTCGATCTAGTAGTTTTACCAAAAGGTCCAAAACTATGCAATTCATTTAATTATCTCTAAATAAGTATCTAAGAAAAATAAAAGTCGTCATGTCCATAAGAAAAATAAATTAATAAATATGTTATATTGATAAACTTGATTGGGATGAATAAATTAATGGAGATGTTATATAGATTTTTAAATTATCTTTACGTTTTAATATTATATTATTATTATTATTTGAATTATTTTTTTAACCTCCTATATTTGAGATTTTGTTAAAACACTTTAACTATAATAAAAGTTTAAATTATAACAAAAACACCTCCATCCACCCAAATCACTACAAGTTTACATAAATTGTTTTCAAAATAAGAGTATTATTGTCCAAAATTTTTATTGCTTAAGGGTAAAATTGTAAAGGCAATGGTTCATGTAACTTGTATTAAAAAACCAAGGGTATTACTATCTAAATTTTTTATTAAATAAAGGTAAAATTATAATAAAATTAAGATTATTAAATAATATTAAAATACCTGATAAAATTGTGGTATGTATATTACCACTTATATAATTAATAATTATTATTTTTGTTATTAAAAGATAAATTATAATTTTTTACTATTTGATAACTAAATATAATAACATCAATAATATAAGATAATATAATCTTAGTAATAAAAAATGACGTCTGACTAAACACACCACAATTGTAATCTGTACATACGAAAAGGTTTCTTAAGTAATCACAAAATATTTAATATAAAAATAAAATTGCTGCGTTTTTCTAATAAACTGTCTGATGTTTAATATTATAAAAAAGAATCTTTCTACTAACGACTCAGTGCAGTGGATTTGTTCGAAATTAATCCGTTTCACTTTTTTATTGCTTATTAAAAAAAACCTTGTTTATTTTTTAATTAGCCATTAATTTCGAACAAAAATGAACTCTCCTGTTGAATATAAAACCGGGAACGCGTCTCCACACACCATCTATTTTCACACATTTCTCTCTTCTCTTCTCTCGCTTCCTTCTTGAAAATGGAGATATCAGTTACATCCATCGTATTCTCCTTTGTTTTTGCGGCCCTTTTAGCTTCTGTATGGTCTTTTCTGGATTGGATTTGGTTGAAGCCGAAGAAGCTGGAGATGTTGCTGAGACAACAAGGTTTCTCTGGCAACTCATACAAACTTCTTCACGGTGACACAAAAGAGATGTTCATGGTGTCAAAACAAGCAAAAATCAGACCCATCAACCCCATCTCCCACGATATTGCGCAGCGAATCATTCCATTCCACCATCGTATCATCACGAACTACGGTATGCTTTCTCCTTTCATTTGAAACTTTATAATTGATTAATGGCCATGATGTGCTGTAGCATAGTCTTCAATCTCTTACTTTTGTCTTTAGCTAGATATGGTTGTGCATATCGGAAAATATGGAATTGGATTAATTAATTATCATATTTACTTTTGTCTCTCTGTGAGCCAATATCTCTACCAGTAGGGCGGTGCCATCTTCTTATCTTATTTTTGTCTACTATTACAACGGAACAAATGCATCGCTATCTTAAAACATCTTTATTTGACCAAGGTTTCGAAAATTATAATAAAAATTTGAAATTATATCAATAATAACAATAACAATAATAATTTATTATTATATTAATTAAAAAATAGTAGAACCACTCAGTGTTTTCCGTTGTTATGGGCTACTAAAAAAATATAGAATAAATCAACAAGTTAATTACCCATCGACAATTTCAAACCTTGGCATTCTAAGTCAAACTATTCTGGGAGGTGATGATGCGTGCTAATGCAAACGCACAACATTTTCTATCAGTTACTTTTGACTTTAAGTTAAAGATAATGAGATTTGAAGTTTCTTAATTAACAAAATAATAATAAAACTTCGATAATTTATTATTTGATTATAGGATGTTTATAGCTAATCTACTACTTAATCATTCTATATTTAGTACATTAATAATTTTGCTTGTTTAATTATAACTAATACTTAGGCCTTACGGTGAATGCAGGAAAGAATTCGTTCATATGGTTAGGTCCAACACCAAGCATAAACATCACGGACCCCAAATTGATAAGAGAAATAATGTTAAGGTATGAAATATTTCAAAAACCCAAGAGGAGCCCACTTGGCAAGTTGGTATTCAACGGCATGCTGATGTATGAGGGTGAACAATGGTTCAGAGTCAGAAAGACAGCCAACCCAGCTTTCCATCTAGACAAGTTGAAGGTTTTTCTTCTTTCTATCCTCCAATACTCATGAAATTATCTTACCAAACAGAATGATATAATTATGTGGTGCCCATTCAAAGATATACAATCTTTGATTTCTAATGAAAGTAATGCTTTTATTATTTCATTTCACCTACATCTTGAGTCATGATTTAAAGATTGATTGGACCGTATCCTGATAATATGACTGTCAAAAAAAAAAAAAAAAAAAAAAAAACCGTTTCGGTTTTGATTATAATATTTTATAAACTAGATTGATCACTTTAACGTCACTAATTATATATGCTTTAATTTTTTCAATTTTTTACGAACCGTTTATTAATTTTAATTTTATGATAGTAATGTAAATGGAAAACTAAAAAATTATTATAGTGAATGCTAAAGTTGATCAAAACTGACAAGAACATGCAAAAGCAGAGATTTTGTAATTAACTCGATGCTAAAGTAAATTGAGTGTGATTGATGTGGTGCTGATAATCAGATAACTCTCCTATGGTGCCAGCTCCTTTGCATTTTTTTTTAAACAACCTGGCATGACACGCACGCAATGACGCACACATGAATTTCAGTTTGTTTTAATTTCATGTTTTTAGTAAATTATAAAACATTATCATGACACGCACGCAACGACATAATTTAGTTTTATGTTTATAAAATAATTCACCGTACTTATCTAATAAATTTAATTTAGTACTTGTAAAAAAAATTATAAACATAATTTAATAAACATTTATTCGACAACTAATACCTTTTTAATTCCTCGATCTAGTAGTTTTACCAAAAGGTCCAAAACTATGCAATTCATTTAATTATCTCTAAATAAGTATCTAAGAAAAATAAAAGTCGTCATGTCCATAAGAAAAATAAATTAATAAATATGTTATATTGATAAACTTGATTGGGATGAATAAATTAATGGAGATGTTATATAGATTTTTAAATTATCTTTACGTTTTAATATTATATTATTATTATTATTTGAATTATTTTTTTAACCTCCTATATTTGAGATTTTGTTAAAACACTTTAACTATAATAAAAGTTTAAATTATAACAAAAACACCTCCATCCACCCAAATCACTACAAGTTTACATAAATTGTTTTCAAAATAAGAGTATTATTGTCCAAAATTTTTATTGCTTAAGGGTAAAATTGTAAAGGCAATGGTTCATGTAACTTGTATTAAAAAACCAAGGGTATTACTATCTAAATTTTTTATTAAATAAAGGTAAAATTATAATAAAATTAAGATTATTAAATAATATTAAAATACCTGATAAAATTGTGGTATGTATATTACCACTTATATAATTAATAATTATTATTTTTGTTATTAAAAGATAAATTATAATTTTTTACTATTTGATAACTAAATATAATAACATCAATAATATAAGATAATATAATCTTAGTAATAAAAAATGACGTCTGACTAAACACACCACAATTGTAATCTGTACATACGAAAAGGTTTCTTAAGTAATCACAAAATATTTAATATAAAAATAAAATTGCTGCGTTTTTCTAATAAACTGTCTGATGTTTAATATTATAAAAAAGAATCTTTCTACTAACGACTCAGTGCAGTGGATTTGTTCGAAATTAATCCGTTTCACCTTTTTATTGCTCATTAAAAAAAACCTTGTTTATTTTTTAATTAGCCATTAATTTCGAGCAAAAATGAACTCTCCTGTTGAATATAAAACCGGGAACGCATCTCCACATACCATCTATTTTCACACATTTCTCTCTTCTCTTCTCTCGCTTCCTTCTTGAAAATGGAGATATCAGTTACATCCATCGTATTCTCCTTTGTNCTATACAACCACAACATGGTGCTCACATGATCTTACGCAAGATTTAGTATTATATATAGTCTGTTGGGGAGAGAGTTGTTGGTTAACTCACTTCAGTGTATGGTTACCCATTTTAAGTATAGCGGAAATATTACTAAGTTGTTTAAGACATTTCTAATTTAACCACATCAAACACAAGTGCAGAAAATAAATAATACAGACATATACATGGTTCGGCTAAATCCATTTTTAGCCTACATCCATGGGACCTTGTTCAGATTCAAGCAATCCACTAAATAAAAAACACATTACAAGATATAGTTCAAAGTTGATCAAAGATATAGCAAAAAGAACTCGCTATTCAACTTTACACTTAGCACCACACTCTGAATCCTTAACGTGTAGTAACTCCTTAGATCATCTTTAACACACCCTGAACAACTTGTGAACCACCAAGCTTCAAACACCGACGCCACGCACCAGCATCAACAAAAGAACCATGTTCGAAGAGCCTCAAGTCTATGTTTGATGTGGTGAGGTTTTGACACAAAATGGAAATGAACCTATGAACCTTAAGAGAAAGTATACTCTAAGAAAATCCAGAGTATAATGAAAATAAAAAGGTTAGATTCAAAGACGCAAGATGAGATGATATACAGTGTACAGTTTCTTGCTCAACACATTAGTGTCACATCAGCCAACAAGGAATTGACCCATGTTTGTCCAAATAAGGAAATTATTCCTTCTTTCGGTTTGGACCACAAAGCAAATCGGGAAAAGAAACTTTATTCCCTAGGACCACTTAAGGGTACTATGACACGTGTAAAAAGGTCATAAAAAGTAAGAGTCAAAGATGAAAAATACTTTTTTCATTTTATCAGACATGCAGCTCATACTGGGTTGCAAATATCTAAAGCGAGAGTGCAAGTACAAACTATTGTGCACACACACTCGAAACGAAACAAGCCAAGATGCAAGTCTGGCAACCAGTGTGCACGCAGAAAGATGTGCACACACACAACAAAAGAAACAAGCCAAATCATAAGATTGGCAACCAGTGTGCACACATAATCGTTATGCACACATAACTCATAAGTTTGACAAATATGAATATTTCACATTCTCCCCCTTTGTCAAACTTATGAACAAAGAACATAAAAGAGATCAAGTGCAAACCTGTTTTAATCAACCCCCTTTGTTATCAAATTTTTTTTAATTTAAACTATGAACGGGTGTCCTTATAGGTGGACTCTCATCCAATAAGTAACGACGCCCGTCCATTTCAAATGAATGATCATCCAATAAAAATGGACGGCCGTCCATATTTGATGGACAGCCGTTCATTCGCGAAATATTTCTTAACGTGCTATGTGGTTCGTCTGACTTAGGTGACACATCGTTCAGTTTAACATTTCGATACAAAGCGTCGGTGTCTGTAGCATTATTGATAAGAAAATACATCAAATAATCAAACTAATAACCTTATTTCATTGATAGCTAATCAAATTCTACTTACAATTTCGTAGTAAAATAGTTAGAAGATTTACTTACAGTTCAGAAGAACGAATCAAAATAACAACTCATTTGTCAATATCAATCGGACATCCTTCATTTATTACATGCCAATTCATGAATTTTTGACCTGTAAACAACAATAAAAACAAAAACAAATAAAAAATCATCAATTAACAAAATCATGAAGAACATATGTATTATTGACACAAACTAACATGACCTATAAACAATTAACAAAAGACCAGACGTATTGTTGACACCGACTAATATATATTGTGATAATACACAACTAAACATACGCCCCTTTTATAACCCTCTATTTAGATCTTTATTCGCCAACACAATTAAATATGAATTGAATACGAAGAAAGGTTTACAATATCAATACAATGCACCTATATAATTATTAATAAACATGTATGTTTTTACTATCAATGCAATGTACCTATCTAATACAATCTTTTTGTCTATTTATTTAGACTTTAGAATACAAATATAGCAATTAACATTGTCTACATCATCACCAATAAAATTCAACTACATGGTAATCACAAATCTAATGCGTCATTATGGTTAGACCTTTAGAATGTCAAAGGAATACACCTATAATCAGTATTATTATTAATTATTAATACAATCAATGCAATGCACTTATGTAATCCAATCTTTATGTTTAATTATTTAGGCTTTGGAACACCAATGCAGTAATTAATATTGTCCACATCATTACCAATAAAATTCAACTAAATGGCAATCACAAATCTAAGGTGTCATTATGGTTAGACCTTTAGAATGCTAATCCAATGCACGTACTATTATTATTATTATTAATTATTAATACATATTCTATTTTTTAAATTAGTTAATAACTATAGATGAAGCAATAAATACTAATATAACGTGTCAAAATAGAGCAATTTGATTGGTTTAACAATCTAATGTATCAAAATAAAAAAATTATAAAGCTTAAAAAATATGACACATGGTGAACAATCTCTCTCTCTCTCTCTCTCTCTCTCTCTCTCTCTCTCTCTCTCTCTCTCTCTCTCTCTCTCTATATATATATATATATATATATATATATATATAGCTTCTCCTCTTTGACTAAGGCTTATTAAATAACAGCATTGATAAGTTTGTTGATTTATGGTGAAAAACTAGGTGAACCCAATGACCAAAAACAAACAGGCATGCGTGGTTTCTAAAAACTAGGCATTAAATGAGGGGTGTTGGAACTTGGAACTAGTACTGAGTCTTCCCATTTCAAATTGACTTTGTCCTACCGTAGGGTTTCCTTAATCACACTTTCCCATTTAAAGAGTTTCAAAATACTATGGCTGCGTTTGGTTCAAAATTTGGGGGTTTTGAGAAAAGTTTTTTGAAAAAAGTTGAAAAAAAGTTGAATTGGGCGGGTATTACGAGGTAAAATTTATAAATTAATAAAATCTCCTTTATGTTTGTTTTTTTACAAAATACCCCCTATAATAAAATATTAAAAGTTAACAAAAATACCCCTAACCCACCCTCAAACACCCCCAGCCGGCGACCACCACCGGAGGTGGCCGGAGTCGCCGTATGGGCGCATGACCGGTTGGATCTTGCCGGTCATGCGTCGCTATGGCCTTTTCCGGCCAGATCCACGGTGGATCTGGCCGGAAAAGGCCAGATCTACGGTCAGATCTGGCCGTCAACGGCCAGATCTGGCCGTATTTGCTCTCAACGACGGCCAACAAACGGTCGTCGTTGATGGTCAACGACGACCGTTTGTTGGCCGTCGTGACCGAGTGTTACGGCCAAAGATCTGGCCGTCAACGGCCAGATCTTTGGCCTTAGATCTGGCCTTTTCCGGCCAGATCCACCGTGGATCTGG